ACTAAGAGCACTTCCACCCATTTGCCATGGCAAAGGGCAAGGGCAAGGCAAGGGCTGTTACTATTCACGTGAATAGTGGCAGCCCTTACAAAAGGCTTGTGGTGTTTCCACCCATTGCCATGGCAACAATTATTCACATGAGATATGAGGAGAGGAATTTGTATAAAGTTTTGGTGTGGGAAGTGAAGAATATGGCTAAGTATTTGTTTAAAAAAAAATTCTGAAATTCTTTGTATTTTTTTTGTAGATTTTTTTTAAATTTTTTAGTTGCTGACGTCATCGTTGACGTTAGCAAACCCAGGCTAGAGCACAGGCTCATTTTGCCTAAGGGTTGCCCTGGTTTCATGGCCCCCAGCATCTTCAGCCCGTTGGAAGACGAATTTGGGGCTTGGGCCCCCTCCTTCCCTGGCAAGGGCTCAATGCTGGAACCGCTGTAAGATCTTATAGGAGCTTGAACTTAGGATCTTAGGTGCATAGTAAATACTCTTTACAAAGAGCTAAACAATTTTAAGAAAAAAGAAAAAAGAAAAGAAGGAAACGACGTGCCGTTTATGCAACAGGGACTTGCCGAATTAAACAACACCGCATGTACACGTGCACACAGAGAGCTCGCGGTTTGTGGAAGATGACACGCCTTCTTCAAGCTTCAGTGCCTCTGAGTCTGAGCTCACTGTCCAAAAGACTCAGCCTTTCCTCTTCTTCCACTCGCCTTCAACTTCGATCCTTCTGCTGCAAAATGTCGTCTGACTCGCCACCCTTAACTCACTCCATCACTCTCCCGAGTCAACTCACCGAACCCGTCGAGATCGTCGCTGCCCCCAATATCTCCCGTTCCGAGTTCAGGTGAGTCACGCTTTTCTTTTACCTTTTTTCTTCTTTTTGAAACAATATGTAATTACGATGCTAATTATGCAGTAATGGAAATGTTAAAATTAATGTTGCAGGAGTGCTATCGATTCGTCTTTGTTCAGGCAGTGGCTGAAGAACATGGAAAGTGAAAATGGGGTTTTGTACGGCGGTGCATTGTCTCTTAGACGAGTTCTAATTCAGGTAATTCAATGCTTTGTTGACGTTTTTTTGATTGAATTTTGAAGAATTGGTATATAAACATTGTTGTAGCAACGATCCTTTAGCCGCTGCTAATAGTTAGTTGGTTAATTTTTGTGGGTAACAGGGTGTGGATATGTTTGGAAAGCGCATTGGGTTTTTGAAATTTGTTGCAGATGTGTTTGATAAAGAAACTGGGAAAAAGGTATCTGATGATAATGCCCATGTGATGTGCTTTCTCTTGTTTTGGGCTTCATTGGTGCCCATAATTCTTGATTTCTTTCTCTTGCTTCATTATGAAGTAAAACTTACTTAGGTTCCAGGTATTGTGTTTGCACGAGGACCAGCTGTAGCTGTGCTTATTCTTTTGGAATCAGAGGACAAGACCTATGCTGTTCTTACTGAACAGGTAGGTCTTTACTTTGGTATTTAGAGTATCTGTTTTGAAGGTTTTACTTTATGTGAAAATCCATTCATTGTATTATATATGCCCAATAAGTTATTACGTAAATAAACGGTGGCATTGTACTTCCCATGTATTCAAACTGTGTTGAAATTCCATGCATGTCGAAGGTTAGAATCCCTGTCGGAAGGGTCATACTGGAGTTGCCCGCTGGAATGTTGGACGACGACAAGGGCGATTTTCTTGGCACTGCAATTCGTGAGGTCTCTCTATGTTTGCACAAATACAATATGATGTACATGTATGTGTCTGTATGTCAACTTGAGTCAAATTTTTTTAAGGGACTGGGAAAAAGGTATCTGATGATAATGCCCATGTGATGTGCTTTCTCTTGTTTTGGGCTTCATTGGTGCCCATAATTCTTGATTTCTTTCTCTTGCTTCATTATGAAGTAAAACTTACTTAGGTTCCAGGTATTGTGTTTGCACGAGGACCAGCTGTAGCTGTGCTTATTCTTTTGGAATCAGAGGACAAGACCTATGCTGTTCTTACTGAACAGGTAGGTCTTTACTTTGGTATTTAGAGTATCTGTTTTGAAGGTTTTACTTTATGTGAAAATCCATTCATTGTATTATATATGCCCAATAAGTTATTACGTAAATAAACGGTGGCATTGTACTTCCCATGTATTCAAACTGTGTTGAAATTCCATGCATGTCCAAGGTTAGAATCCCTGTCGGAAGGGTCATACTGGAGTTGCCCGCTGAAATGTTGGACGACGACAAGGGCGATTTTCTTAGCACTGCAATTCGTGAGGTCTCTCTATGTTTGCACAAATACAATATGATGTACATGTATGTGTCTGTATATCAACTTGAGTCAAATTTTTTTAAGGGCATGCCTGAAAATTGAACTAGTTTACTCATAAATCAAGCTATGGTTTGGTTTATCGAGAAGTTTATTGTTCCATAATTTCATGGTTGGTTGTACTTCAGTTGGTAGCCATATCTTTCATGAGTCTTCTCATGAACTCTGGTCCTCCATTATTTTTACTATATACAATGTCTTCTGTTAAATCTGATTTTTTATTTATTGTGTTTTGCTTCTTTCTCATCTTACTCTTGGTTGGACTTTGTCTTCCGTTAGTCATGGGTAAATCTAGTTGTTTATGTTTTGTAAGCTGATGCAAATGAACATTGTCCAATATGTTCTTGTTGCTAATTTATCTTGGAATTTTTGTCAGGCCTAAAAATGTTTCTTGTAAAATTTTCTTTGGTCATGTTTCAGCTTCTGTGATATTCAACTATAATGTACTAACTGTGACATATTGCAAGGTTTGAAATTTTACCCAAACTTAAGATGCGTGATTCTTATCTAACACTTTGGCAGGTTGAAGAGGAGACTGGCATATGCCTAAAACAAGAAGACATGGTGGACCTCACAGCATTCCTCGACCAATCTACTGGAGGCAAAATTTTTCCTTCTCCAGTAAGTTGGTGTTAATTCTTTTCTGGATAGCCAAAATGCCAAATTGAAACTAAAAATGTAGGAAATCTTCCCATTGTTAAAAATGGGCAGGTGAGAATTGGTTGAAGGAAAGAAAGATCCCATATATTTAACCATTATAAAACTCACAAAAATTAACTCCAATAGTCATTTTGCATTAAGTATATGCTCTCTATTGGCCCAATAAAAGAAAAAACATGAAACTAATTTGGATGCAGAAAACATTGCATTTTAAAAGTAACCATGGGTTTGTAATTTAAGATTGAATAAACTCAGGTATTATACAAATAATAGTTGTGTTTTCTCTTTTGTTCCACCTGTCTGTAAAGGGTCACTCTTTTTTGTTTTTTCATGGTTAGGGAGGGTGCGATGAAGAAATCAGTCTCTTTTTGTACAGAGGGCAGGTGAATAAAGAGATTATTGAGCAGCTGCAAGGAAAAGAGACAGGTCTTCGAGAGCATGGGGAGCTGATTAAGGTTTGTGCGGTTCCCTATGAAAAGCTCTGGTGCATGACAGCCGATGCAAAGGTTTTAGCAGCCATTGCGCTCTATGAAATGGCCAAAAAAGAAGGGCTCTTGCCTCACCTGAAAGCATGAGCTGCTAATTATTGTAGCAACTGTACCCTATTTTTGGTTTGGTGGGTTTTGATGTTTGCCAGCACAGTTGGTGCTAGATCCTGACTGGATTTTCTTCTCTGCTGTGTAAAGTTTCTTTTAGTTCTGTTATGTTCAGTTTATTATTGAGCTGTAGAGTTCTTCTTGCCGTGTTTACAAGCTGTGATTGTTGATGGTGCAACAATTATTTGCATATAGCATGGTTTCTGTATCATTCAGCCCTGGTAGCAACAGTTAAAGAATGTTCACTCTGTTCGTTTCTCTAGCTTCTCCTATTCTTCTTCTTGTCTGTGTTGCCCTCTCAACAAAGTGAATGGGGCGTTGAGAAATGTTAAAACTCTGATCTGTAGGGCTAGGGTGAGCATCCGATCTTTCAAATTTCGGTATATTTGACAAGATGATGCAAGTTGGTCAAAATCATTTCCTTTATTCGATAAAACAAATGTTTCTTTTTCTACACTGGGCAAAGTTTTTATGAAGTACAAAGAGAGAAAAATACAATCACTCTCATGCTTGTATAAGGTGCCTAAGAAATTCAACTCGACTATGACCCCAGATAGGGCTTGCTTCGGATATCAGACCTTGCTGGTGACAAAGTCGTTGCCAGTTGCTTCCCATATGGTGGTTCCGTCACAAGTGCAAAGCTTTTTGTAGTTCTCACCAACTCCAGCACTTCTAGCAATTACAGCGGCTTTGATACCAGAGTCCGACTTATCAGCAGTACCGTATACCACTAATGACCGCCCGATGAGATCAGCAACTCTCAACTTCTCTTTGACGCCGGAGAAGAAGGCATTACCATTCTCATCAGCATCCAATGTTCCCAGGTCGCCAAGCGGCTGAAAAGAATTCAGCATAACACTTAGAGATTGCCATAAAATTTGAATGTCATTGTGAAGACAAGCGAGCACTAGAACTAGAAATTACATGTCTTGGGAAATATAAACCATGAATATAAAATAGTGAAATTATACCACTCAATAAATCTTAAAACATGTCTTGGGAAATATACAGGCATGCAAATTTCTTCAAGAGCAATCAATTGTTGCACAAGCAATACAGCAAAGATATACAGTTCTTAATCAATACAACAAACAAATTATAGTCATAATTTCTAAACATATTGTAGTTTTCTTGCTTGTGCCTCAAATACAATAGCAAGAACCCTACAACACTGATCTGAATGTTTACTGGCAAGATTTATTTTACCTCATTCTACGAGACTTGGAGGAGTCAGATAATTAGTTACTAGGACATGGAAAATCAAAACAAACATAAATATCAGAGAGAAGGTTTATATCAAAGCAAACCTCATTTGCTTCTTCCTTTGATGGATTAAACACTTTTCCAGTGCTTGCAGCACCTTCTGTTACATCACCAAACTCGTTGATAGACCAACCGTGTTTTCCAGGTGGCAACCCACTAAAGTTGGCCTCAATCCTAGCCAATTCCATATTCACCTGAGCCAAACGAACCACACCAAAAATATCTGGACCTTTAAATTCAGCAACAGCCGCAGAAACCAAGAAATCTGTAAACCAAGAAAAAAATAAGAAATATGCCATCAACATAAAATTCCATGATTACTAAATAATATTCAGCAACTAACCAAATTATGACTTCAACAAGTAAGGAATTCTGCTGCAGTAAAAACAGGATGTTTAGATTTTTCTTAATGGAAACAGGACTGCAATAAACCTCATGTAAATTACAAGATCTTCGACATGCAACAAGAAAGAAGGTTTTTTCAAAACATAGGTATATGCTAACTGTTAGATGAGGTCATTTATATTTTTCAACACAAATTTTTTACAGACGGTATCATCTAGTATATTATCCACCAATCATACTCGAATCACAGTCCTGTTAGTTCACATTTCAGATTCTACTATACTTGGTCGCTTAATTGGCTGAAAACAGAATACTTCATTGAATAAGAATCCTTATTCAATCTGCATCATAGCGTCATGCAACAAGAAATTAATGAGAAAGAATGAGTACCCTAAATGGATTACAAATCAGTAACAAATTGAGAAAACAAAAATGTAAAACCAGCATTGCGTCTATGAAAAATAAAGTAAAAAAAGGTGTAACCTTCTGGGATCCCTTGCCCAATTAATCTTGCTTTTCGACCCGTCTGCTCCAAAGCTTCAGTCATGGTTTTCACAGGCGTTGAACCTAGAATCCTAACAACTTGGCTGTTAAGGTCCACCTCTACACTTTTGACCCCTAGAAGAAAACCAATTGAACAAGAACAGCATAAGATAAATTGCCAAAAAGAAGGGGGCATAAAAGAAGAAAATGTTTCTGTTTGTAATGCACTAGCTCAGAAAAGCTTACCATCAACAGTTTGTAGCTTATTCTTGACAGAGTTAACACAACCCTCGCATTTCATGTCCACCATGTACTCCGTCTGAATACGGAATCAAAACAAAAACTTTTAATTTCTCAGCCAAATTAGCATAATCCTTTAATTTTCATCACTAATAATTATTTACATTTGTAACTTTTTCCTAGTAAATACTTCAAATTTACTCCATTTGAGAAAACTCAAAGCTTAATCATATCATACAAGGAGAAACAAAGTAACTGAAACATACTCCATTTGAGAAAACTCATAGCTTAATCATATCATACAAGGAGAAACAAAGTAACTGAAACATCATCTATGAAATAAATAAATAAATAGAACTAAATATAAATAGAACTAAATATAAAAACACTAAATTTTGAAGGGTGAAACTTACCAACAGCTCTGGCAAGGCAGCATCGCTCTGCGGTTCAAAAACAAAGAACTTTAAAGATTCAGCTGTGAACGATCACAGAAAGTTTAAATAAATTCAAGAGCTATAATAGAACCCATCAACGAAATTGAAGTCAATTGAAGAATCAGATTACAACCCATTAATGAAAACTTAGAGAATTAATTAAATGTTAAAAAAGGAAAAAAGAAAGTTGAAGAATTTCAGCGAACCTGATGGGATGGCTTTTGTTCTGATGTGGGTGCGTCCATGTGGATAGCTGACGGCGAGTTGGTGAAGCTTGTAGCGAGGCAGGAACGATTCGGGTTCAGAGATGGTGTGGAGGAGAGAAAGGAGAGGTTTTGGGGTTTTGGGAACCGAAAAGATTGAGATGGGGAGGACGACGAAGACGAAGAGAGTGAAGAAAGGGCAAAAGCCGCAGGTAATGCAGAGGCAGCTATGGCAGTTGTCGTAGCCACTGACCTCAGAAAAGCCATTTTAATTTTTATTCTAGTTTTGCATTTGCGTTTTTGGGTATATTTCTTTTCTTTACATCATCAAATTCATTTTTTTTCTGGTCAAAAAAGAAGAAAGAGATGGAAATTCTTGGTAATGGTAGATTCTAGATTGTTTTTTTTTAATTACCGGCTCATCTCCTTCCTCCACCTGCTTGTTTATTGTTTCATTTAATCCATCATTACAATTTAGGGGTAATTGTAATTCTTCAATTGTAATGTTTTTTTTTATAATCCAATTGGTTTATAGAAGATACCCTTGAAATAAATAAATAAATTATATGGAAGATACCCTTGAAATAAATAAAAAAATTATATGCAATGGAAATAGCACGCTATGCCAAATGGAAAAGCTATCACACGTGGTATAACATAATTGGCTGAGAATAGCAAAACAGTTCTATTCTCGTTGCACACAAGTGTTTCTCTCTTGACATATTATTAAAAAAAGGCTTGAAATATTGGAAAGGAGGACAACCAATTCAAAGAAAAAGAAAAGAAGTATTTACTTATTTTTTACTTTTTTACTTTAGTTTCTATAAAAATCTAGAACAACATTAACCAAAGCGTTTTCAAAGTTAATTTTTCTTAAGATTTAACTTGATTATATTGAGATGTGAGCAATTTAACATACTATCTTATTAGACTGCCAGTTAAACCTAATTATGAGTGGTTGGGTGGAAAATACTTGAGTGTTCGAAGTAGTCTAGAAACAATGTGAAATTGTTTCGAAAACTCGAGACATATCTAGTAGGACTCTAAAATGTATCTGTTAGTGTTGAAACTAGAAAAGTTCTTTTGTTTCCTTTCTTGGTATCTAATTTCTTTATTTGCTAATCTGATTTTAGGAAACTGACTCACTCAACGATTTTGATTAATGATGGCAGAAAAGGAAGTTAATTCTAGACACAATTCCATGTGGTAAAATGAAAGCGATAGTAGTTCTTTCACAAGAAATCTCGAAAGTTCCTATATCTTATTAGAATGGACCCAAATGAATATGTAATTTTCAAGAAAGTTCATAGAGAATAAAGACACAAAGTATGCAGTGAACAAAAGCTTGGGCTGTATACAAAGTGACGAAATTCTATAGTGAGAGTGCCATACATGGCAAAGTATGCAGTGAACAAAAGCTTGGGCTGTATACAAAGTGACGAAATTCTATAGTGAGAGTGTCATACATGGACCCTTCATGAAACGACTCATACAAAGTGAGCTTCAATGAGCTTCCAAATTTTGGCTTCCCTAAGACCCAAAGATCACAACCATTGGGCTAGTAACATTATGCTTATCAGAAACCCATCTCAAATATCCCTGGCCAAACAAAACACCATCCTTCCCAGCACCCTCTTGTGCAACAAACTTCACCCGATATGTAATAGTCTGCTTAACCTTTGTGAATTTAAGCACCTCAGGGCTCACATTCACATCCACTTTATTTGGTGCTAAAATATCCAACTTGTAAGTTGAATTTGCCTGCCCAACATTCTTCACTGTCCTTGTATAAAGCTGAGACTTAGTCTTTTTATTGGAGCCAACTATAATAGAAAATGAAGGGTAGTTTAGCTGTGCTTCTGGTATGGCTCCAATTTTGGAGCAATCCACTGTTTGTTGGGTTATGATCTGTATCTGTTTGTCTGTGTAATTCAAACCACACAGATATTGGATGTAATTCTTCGGTTGCGTGTCGTAGACTAGCCCTGGGTCATTTGCTTTTGAAGGGTTAACATGACCTGCACCTATTGCAAAAAGGTCTGCTGCCTTGAGTGTTTGATCAACAATGGACTTACCTCCGAGGTTATGTACATCAGCGGTTGTCATGATTGCTGATTTGATAGCAGCGGGTGACCAGTCAGGGTGTGAGCCCTTGAGCAAGGCTGCAATGCCACTTAGGTGAGGGCATGACATTGAGGTACCTGAAATTATGTTAAATGTTGCCTTAGATTTTGTGGCATTGTCCACTGAAACAGGCCATGTTGCCAGGATGCTAACACCGGGACCAGTGATGTCCGGTTTCAAAATCCCGGGGCTTGCAGTGCTCGGTCCTCTTGACGAAAAGGAAGCAACACTCGGAGCATGTTTATCTCCAATAACAGTGCCTTTGAACAAAATTGTGGCTGTAGGCTTTGTGGTTGACTTTATATAGAACTTGATTTTCAACCCTGCATCATAACTCACATGTGCTGTGGGTAGCAGATGAGGGTCAGCTAATGTGCTAAAGCCATCAATCCTTTGGTTCATGAGAATCATGGCAGCTCCACCAGCTCTTTTTACTTCTGCTCCTTTGTCAATTCTTCCACCTGCTCCACCTCTCTCACATAAAACTATTTTCCCTTTAACATTTTTAAGAGTTCCTGCGTCGCAAAAAGCTGCCATCTGAATAGAAAGGACGCGAGAACCCGCCAAGGGAGAGCGAAAGCACGTCCACCCCATCATCAACCGCAGCATCCATTGCAGCCAAAATGTCACCTTCGGCACAACCCACTGCAGAGCACACTCTGTAGATTGCCAAGTGAGCATGAGGCGCCATGCCAACCGCTGTGCCCTTGGCCATTCCAAACAGCGCAGCTCCTTTGACAAAGTTCCCGGCAGCTGTGCTGGACGTGTGGGTCCCGTGGCCTTCTTGGTCAAGTGGAGGGTCTCCTGCAGGTTGCCCTGTGCTTATGCCATTGAAGTTTCTTGCACCAATAAGCTTGTTGTTGCACACTCTGCCATTGAACTCACATTTGCCTTTCCATTTAGCTGGTGGAGGAGGCACTCCTGCGTCACTAAATGAGGGATGATCTGGTGAAACCCCAGTATCCAAAACTCCAATGATCACACCTTTACCATAGTTTGATCCTTTCCAAAATCCCATCCCTTGGTTCAAACCCAAGAAGTTGGGGCTGTGAGTTGTGTGCAAAGGCAGGATTGCCTCTGGATGAGCTGACACAAACCCTGGTTTCTTTTCCATTGCTTTCACATCCTCCGGTGTCAGTTTTGCTGCAAACCCGGTCGCCACATTGTGGTATGCATGAACGATTCGGGGCTTCGACAGCTGGTTTGAGGTTGCAATAGTACTTTCTGGCAAAAATGTATGGTACCAACTCTCCAAATCTTCATGAGATTGTGCAGAAGATCCCTGAGCCACCGGCTTTTCTACCCAAACTATATAAGTTTGCATGTCATTTTGCTCCTCATCTGTAACTGCCAGTGATAAAGAAAACATGAAAAGCAAGCTAAGAAGATATACAATTTGCATTTGCAACACCACACACTTTTTGCTCTCCATCTTTAATCTGATTCAATTTCAAATGAACTTGTAACAAAAGATATCAAGAGATTGATATTGGGTATGAACATTGGCCTGCAACAATTCTTGTACAGTTGATGATGCAAATTCAAGGTTGTGAAGGTCTCTGGCTTAAGTTGGGAACTTGGTTTCTTAACAAACTGCCAAATGAGGCTCTAGGCATGTGGCATGAGATATACATAAATTGCGAGAGTTTTGGAATGTGGACGACTTGGTATGCTTGGCATTCTATACAGTTAGAAGTTAGAACAATGCGGCGGGAAACCTTGAGTTATTTTATTTGTTTCATTTATGGAAGGCTGCTGTGGTAGCAAATCATGGTGCCAAGTCCAACTGGTTTGCCCTTATTGTTACAAGTATTTAACCAAGAATGGTCCATTACAAATAATGAACAAAAGGAAATAAAGAAATATTAATGGGTATATATATATATATATTGCCAACGAGCCTAGCTCAGTGGAAAAAGGACTACTTGTAGACTAGTAGTCTCAGGTTCGAAACCCCATGACACATTGGTAATAATATGTGTGTAATAATATACTTGTAGCCTAGCTCAGTGGAAAAAGGACTACTTGTTATTTTTCATTCTCATTGGCGTGAGCCAAATTTAAGGTTAAGCGCGTTCGAAAAATAAGTTGACCCGAGCCAATATTAGCTCAAGCTCAATACAAAAATGAGCCAAGCCGAGTTTGAGCGTGAAAAAATCATTTGAGCCGAACTTGAGCTTTGTTCAATCTTGAAGTTGAATAATATATATTATGGTGCTCAAGCTAGGCTCGACTAATTTACACCCCAACGTAATTGTATGCCGACTAGTTAATTCAACATAGATAAATACTATTCGTAAAATAAATATAAAAATAAGTATTTAAAAGTCTATAAAACTCTATGACAAAAGTATATGAAAGTTTTTCACTTTACTTTATAAAGTATGTAAAAGTCATTAAGAATCTGTCAACTCTAGAAAAGTCATTCACTTAAAAAAGTCTTTAAAAGTTAGAATTGGATACACCCCCTAAAATTGTACCTGTCAAAATTGCTGGTTACGTTCAAGGCTGCCCTGGGCTATAGCCTAATGTAGCCCAACGGTGGTTCCATCCTCGGATCCAAATTAAAATGCATGGTTTTGGCTAAGCAATTCGATACACAATACTTGATGGTATTTTGATTCAAATTAACAAGATGAGGAAATTCGTATCCATGACAAGCGACCACCCACCCATTTTGGTCCATGACACTAGATCGAGCATCCGTTGTAAATATGACCCAAGTACCTACTTGATACCATTTCAATATCACGGTCCCGTCGTTACGTTGTGTTATTAATTTAGTAATGTTATAACACGTGTATTTATTTATTAATACTATAACATGTGGATTAGCAAATACCATGTTGCGGTGTGACTGTCACACCCAAAAGTTTTACATTTTAAGCAAACTCAAGAAGGTTTGAAATATGGATAGAAGACACTATATCAAGCTCTAGTTAGGTCAAATTTGTATCAAGACCTACTTCATCTCCATTTTGAGTTCAAGATGGTACCGCGTAGAATACTTTTGAGTTAACTAGAGAATGCATGCACAATATTGGATCATCCAATCTTGAGCAATACTCTCATTTTGCCTGAGATACAAAATTCTAACTGATCCATTGGCAATAAAGCAAGCTTTGTCTTCATGTGGGACAGGGCCAGCTTCAATAATCATTTTGTCATTATCAATTTATACCAGCAAAAGAATATACTCAAGAGAACGAATTAAGGTTCAGGTTCGGGTTTTGACAAGAATGAATGATGAACCAGTTGGAGCCACCCTATAGCCTATACAAGAGCAACCAACCTCCAAATTAAAATATAGTTTTGCTTTTACATAAGCTGCATCGCCAGCTTTGTAATATAACTCAGCGAGCATTACCAAGTCCTGCATTTTGGCAGCCTGTAAACCAAGTCACACAACTAGTCAACCTTTGCAATTACCTCTCATATTCATAATGATCGGTACAAAGAAATGCCGGCCAATTTTCCTCCGAAACGCATGTTGATCGATCTCGATGGTTTTCTGTCTACTATATATAGCTGCATGAAATGGTAGACTAACACAAAACACTTGGACTTTCAAGTTCTCCTTTTAATCAAATTAAAGATGGAGAACAAGAAGGGTGTAGCATTATGTCTTCTTGGTTTAACTTTCATGTTTTATTTTTCACTAGCAGTTGCACAAGAGGAGCAGAATAGCCTGCAAACATATATTGTTTGGGTTGAAAAGCCAGTCTCTCGGAATATCTTTTCACAATCTCAAGAAGATTTAGAGAGCTGGTATCAGTCATTTTTGCCTGAAACGACTGTAAACTCAAATGAGCTGAAGAGTTCACGAATTGTTCATGCATACCGCAATGTGGGCACCGGTTTTGCAGCGAAACTGACACCTGAGGAAGTAAAAGCAATGGAAAAGAAACAAGGGTTTGTCTCAGCTCGTCCAGAGAGAATTCTGCCTCTGCAAACTACTCACACTCCTGACTTCTTGGGGTTGCATCAAGGATACGGACTTTGGAAACAAACAAACTATGGTGAAGGTGTGATCATTGGAGTTTTGGATACCGGGATTGCAGCGGGACATCCTTCCTTTAGTGATGAAGGAGTACCACCTCCTCCGGCTAGATGGAAAGGAAAATGCGAGTTCAATGCTACATTGTGCAATAACAAGCTTATTGGTGCAAAAAATTTTGTAGGCTCAGGCAAAGGTAATACCACAGACAGCCCTCCAGTTGATAACCATGGCCATGGCACACACACGTCTAGTACCGCTGCAGGAAATTTTGTGGCAGGTGCCAGCGTTTTTGGAGAGGCCAATGGCACAGCAGTTGGCATGGCACCTTATGCTCACTTGGCAATGTACAAAGTTTGTGCTGGGGCTGGTTGTGCTGACGGTGATATTTTAGCTGCTCTTGATGCCGCTGTTGAAGATGGCGTGGACGTGCTCTCCCTCTCCCTTGGTGGCGAATCACTTCCTTTCTATGATGATGTTATTGCAATTGGTGCATTTGCAGCAATTCAAAAGGGAATATTTTTCAGCTGTGCAGCTGGAAATTCTGGTCCTTCCTATAACTCTCTATCAAATGAGGCCCCATGGATTCTGACGGTTGGAGCAAGCACCACTGACAGAATATTAAAATCAGAAGCGCAGATTGGAGATGATAAAAACAACCATTTTGATGGAAAATCTTTGTCCCAGCCTGAAGATTTCGATTCAACAGTTTCGCTACCTCTTGCTTATGCAGGCTCAGTTGGCAAACAGCCATCAGCTTCCTGCAAGGCAGGGTCTCTTGAAAACGTTGAAGGGAAAGTAGTGTTGTGTGAGACAGGTGGAGGAGTAACAAATATTGCCAAAGGGGAAGAAGTGAAAAGAGCTGGTGGTGCTGCCATGATTCTCATGAACCAAGAGACTGATGGCTTTAGCACCTTAGCTGAATCTCATGTACTCCCCTCGACGCATGTGAGTTATGCTGCAGGGTTGCAAATTAAGTCATATATAAGGTCAACCTCAAGTCCTACAGCCAAAATCTTGTTCAACGGCACTGTCATCGGAGATGCACTTGCTCCCAAAGTCGCTTCCTTTTCGTCTAGAGGACCAAGCTCTGCAAGCCCTGGAATTCTGAAACCTGACATCATTGGACCCGGCGTTAGCATCCTAGCAGCCTGGCCTGTTGCCGTGGACCAGACACAATCTAAGGCAACGTTTAACATAATTTCAGGTACCTCAATGTCAACTCCTCACCTGAGTGGCATTGCAGCCTTGCTCAAGAGCTCACACCCCGACTGGTCTCCAGCTGCTATTAAGTCTGCCATCATGACAACCGCCAACGTCCTAAACCTTGCGGGCAAGCCCATTGTTGATCAAAGGCTTGAGCCCGCGGACATCTTTGCAACTGGTGCAGGCCATGTTAACCCTTCAAAAGCTAATGACCCGGGGCTCGTCTATGACACACAACCAAAGGATTACATTCCCTACTTGTGTGGTTTGAATTACACAGACCAACAGATACAGCTCATCACCAAACAAGCAGTGATCTGCTCTCAAGTAGAAGCCATACCAGAAGCACAGCTAAACTACCCTTCATTTTCCATTAAAATAAGGTCCAATGAGACTCAGTCTCAGTATTATACAAGGACAGTGAGGAACGTTGGACCGGCTAGTTCAACTTACAACTTGGATCTTCTTGTACCACATAAAATGGGGATGAGTGTGAACCCTCAGGTGCTCACATTCACAGAGGTAAACCAGGAGCTTACGTTCCATGTGGAGTTCAGCGCAGAAGATGGCGCTGGCAAGGATGGCGTACCAATTTCTCAGGGATATTTGAGATGGTTTTCTGATAAGTATAATGTTACTAGTCCAATAGCTGTGGTCTTTGAATCTACCTAGAATTAAAATTTGGCCTTGCAGAACCCTATATAAGCTCACTTTTTATCCAGGCCAAGAGCTATGATGTAGGTAATATACCTACGAATAATTATGTATCCACATATATATTTACAATTTAATAATAATGTGTGCTCCATGGCTGATCATTAAGGTGGGGAAAAAAAAAGCCTTCTTTCTTTGCTCTCATTCTTTTGTTCTTTGAATCTTTTGCATGTATGAATTTAATTCTGAGCTGCTTCTACTTGTTTGAGTTTCTGTCTGTGGTGGCAGAGTTCTATGGTTGCCAAAAACTGACGTTAGATGGTTGTTTTGTTCCCCTGGTCATCACAGTTTTCATGATACAGAGCTGAATTAAAGATGGCGGTTATTGGAAGTGCCAAAATTGCACACAAAATATAAAGCTGAAGCTGAGGAAACTTGATTTTCGGTTCTGTTGAGAGATCATCAGCTGCAACTAATTCCCTGGTCTTTGTTTGGCTCCTTCTTTGATATTCTATATTGGTTTGGTTGGCAGCTGGATCTGAAATTGGTATGTCATCATGTAATTTCTCCTTTGATTTTACTTCAATATATAAAACTATATTCATCATCCTCCGCAATAATATTATTGGTCTCTGGTGACATACATACGCATATAAATATATTTGTTTATTATCTCATATATTTTGGCATTCTGCTCAGCTTTGGATTTATGAGTTTCAAGAATTATTACATCATTATTACATCACAGATTATGATTTTGTTCTTGCCAATATTGTTAATGGCAAGGTAGACATGGATCGAAAGAGAAAGATGAAGATTGTAACAACTCTAGTTGCAGTAGAGTTAGAGAAACAACGTTTGTGTGCATCCATGATGTTACTAAATGTCATATATGCTTTTGACAGCATGGTACTATGAAAAGTACTATCTTAAGAACCGAATCTTTGTTAGGCATGAACCTTTGTTGATCATTTGAATGTACTTAAAAGAATTTTCGTGTTATTACTAATTTTGTGAAATTTTGGACTATTTTTATGGTATCTTCATGTGATTTCTTAATTTTAATTTTGTGTGCTTGTTTTTTAATTAAATTTAATTATTTCTTATATTAAATAATTTTAATAAATTTTAAAAATAAATTTTGTTTGAAGTCGAATGCAGTCCAGCCCATACTTGTACCAAACAACGGATTGGACTTTAGTCCAGTGCAGTCTAGCCCAACTTAATGTACCAAACAACTTATTAAAGTCCAACCCAATCCAAGCCAAATCAGTCCAATACTCCAAGTCCAATCCTAACCAGTCCAGTCCAGCCCAGAAACAGGGCCTTAAAGCCTATTTCACAAATATGAATTGGGCATGGGTGCCCCGTGAAGCGAACCGGTCTGC